TCTGTCTGTGAAGATCTTTAAGCTGTTGTCAATCTCTTGCTGCTTGAATTGTCTTGCTCCATATGGTAGGAGGCTGTCCTGCCGCCACTCTGAAAATAGTGTTTCCACTCATTGCCAGGAATGAGAAGGAAAGATAAATATTTTACCAGGTAATGGTCGTGTTGTGACTGCATTTGAAAGTGCAGTCAGATCAGTTTTGCAGTGCTTGTTGAGAAGGAGGGCCTTCAGGGTTTTGGTTCAGAAGCCGCTCTGGTAAATTAGTACCTTCCTTGAAGTGTATGGTCTTGCATTCCTTACCTAGCTGAATAGTCCCACTGACTTCAAAGTCAGATCCTGAAAGGTCGTTGCGGTAACAAAGGATTACTGGGGGACATTTTTCAAACAAAAGAAGGAGAGATGAGAAAAAACTTATTATGCCATTTGAAACCCTCCTGCCTCATATTTAAAGGTAACAAAAATATAGAGGTAGACAAACGCAGAGGTAGACACTGAACTCCAAACTAGAGCAGCTGGGCTGTATGCGCAATTAGTCATTTTTGAGGTAAATTCCTGAAAGCCAATGGATCTGAAGGAGGAAGGGTATTGGTGTAACCAGGTTGTTTGACTCATGATATACATTTCTTGTCCTAAGCTTTGTATCACATACCAGAAGAGATGGGTGACTATTGTTCCTGAAAAGCAGGAGCTCTTCACATCAGTGAATAGGGAACCTGGGTGCTAAAAGAGTCACTGTAGTGGGAAAAGAAATCTGTATGAGGTACAGTGGGATTTTCTTTCTCTGAGGAAGGGAAATGAGGAGAGAACTGGTGCTTTTTTTTTTTTTTTTTTTTTTTTATCCAATATTGATCTTGGGTATTGAAATATATAGTGGTCTCTTGATTTTGTGGAGGTTGAGTGTCTGAGAAGAGGTGCCTCTAGCTGACATGACCAAGGAGCATTCAGCTGGTTCTGGGGGTAATGCCACCCCACACAAACACATATGTTGGCTGCCTGAGTCTGCATAGAGCTAAGTTTTGGTGTTGCTGGTTAAACAGCCCAATGTCATCCTTGGTAGTCACTGTTAGTGGGACAAGCTAAAAGCTATCCTCTGGCTGATTCTGCCGACCATGGGTTGGGTTGAGTTGGGACAGAGATCGAGAAATCAGCTGTACAACAGTGATGCAAGGGCTGGCAAACAAATATTTCCATTACCAGGGAACACTGTACCCCATTTATGAGCAGAACTCATTCCTTTACTAGAAAAGCTGTAGGTCACTTTCCAATATCTCTTCTGTAAAAGAGGCTTACTGAGCTGTGTGTGTGTTTTCATGTTTCATTGTCTGTCTTGTTCACTTCCATAACTTTGCATATTCAGATGTTCTTATACAGATTGGCTGTGCATATGTCTTGCATGTGCACCCAAACCAACCAATGAATACCACCATAGAGGAACAATCCCACTTCTAGGTTGACAAAGTTTTTCTGCCTACCAAGTGCAATTACTAGCTTTCTTGGGTGCTTAGCAATTTTTAAGGCAGATCTTTGCTACCTACTGCATGGCAAGATCTATTAGTTATTGGTATTAAATGCATCATGAACGAGTATTGCATCAGCAGAGAATCAGCAGTATCAGCAGCTACAACATTTCTGTCAATGTTTCATTTAATTGCATTTGCTTCTTTTATAAGGAGCAACATTTCCACGTCAAATGAGTCAGATTGACGTGGTCGGGATTTGACTAGATCCAGCCAGAGGGAAACTTTCTCGAAGTGGTTAATTACAGCCAGGGAAAGTTGGAAAAGTAGCTTTTCATCAAGAGGCTACAGTAGAACTGGGAAGGGATTATTAAAGAATGGTGGTCATTTTTGGACTGAGGAACAATAAATTATTTTCTTCGTTCAGACTTACTCCTAGATAATTTGTTCATCACCGCTGTATTTTTTTGGGGGGTAGGTTTTTTTGGTTGTTAAATACATGGAATGCAATAGTATTATCTGTGCAATACGTACAGGTTTTGATTTTCTAAAGTTAGCTGAACGGAACAGATGGAGGGAAGAATCAGTTTAGATTGAAGATTTTCTAGCTTTTCTCACTTAAATGAAGAAATCATTCTCTTAATCCTGAAAAAAAAATATTTAGTTTAATTCAGGGGTGTTGTTCTGGGTGTTAACCGCTATGAAGAACAGTTTTTAAATGAAATCCAGCCTAGTGTTCGACTCTGTAATATTTGAACCGTTTGAAAAAGCTTCAGGTGTTTATGCTGGAAAATACAGGGCAGCATTTAGGAACGTGAAACATTTACCAAATTTAAAAGTAGTTAATTTTTTGAAACTGTCTTTCTTTTTGTAATTTATTAAGAGATTAATTCCTCCAAAATATCAGGACAGTACTGCCCAAAGCCTTCAGCCAAGTTCTTGATTTCTTGTGGTAGGTGCTGCACAAATAGTGTGAGAAAATAGACAAGGGAGACAGTAGGTAAGAAATGAAGACTTTTGGCCAGGCTATGTGATTTTTCTCCTGCAGACAGGCAGCAGAAGCAGAAAAAAAAATCTTACCAGCATCCTGGACAAGCACCCTACTCACTGGTCAGTTCTGCCTCAATTGAAATGGCCACTGGGCTCAGTGATGCCACTGGGCACTTACAAATGCTGTCTTCTGAGAAGATCTCATAGCCATCACTGAGAGGCTTGGCTTGAGGAACGGAAATAAATTTTCTGAACTCAACTGCACTGTCAGGAAGAAGCAAAGGGACTTAAAGTGTAGAGTTGAAGAAACTTTGAGGGATAGATGTCTGTGAATTGCTTAAAGGTTTAGGGCACCCTTTATCCCCTTCACTTGAAAGTTCAAGAAACACGTTTTTCTCCTCAAAGCCGTGTTTAAAGACAACCAGTATGTTGGTGGTGGTCATGATGCTAAAGAAATTTTCTCTCCTGCTTTTTGGGATTAGAGATGCGTGGGACAAAGAGATCTGGTGGTGTTGACAAGGATCAATTTGTTGAAATGCAGATTTCTCAAAAAGGGTTGCAATTTCAGGAACATTCACTCGGGAAGGAGGTCATGGCTCCAGAATGAAAAACAGGAAGATACCTCACTTGCCTCAGAATGTGATGCTGCCTAGAGAGTTAGGACACGTGTTATTATTGTGGGCTTTTACAAATGTAAAACAAAAATACACATCCCCAAACCATGATGACACTCCTCCCGCCTCCCCCCATTGCAATCTGAAAATGTTAAAAGATCTCCAGATTCCCAGATGGCAAAATAGTGTCCTGGCTAGTTCTCTCATCAGTGCGTGTTGTTAATTTATTTCCCGTTCTAACCCAGTGTTCTTTTCTTTTTCCTTTCTTTGGATAGCACGATTCATTTGGTCCTTGAAGAGTAAAGACTAAAGCCCTTCAGTCTTAAATATGAGTAAAGGGGAAGTCCAGGCCACGGCAGGGTGGGGAGATAGATGCTGTAGGAAGTCCTGTACCACTGCTCTGAACTCCGTGTAAGCATCAGGTCCAATCTAAAGCTGTGCGCACAGACTGTGAACAGGAGTTCATTTCTGCGTCCCTTTCTTTCTGTCAAAGCTTCTTTATAGTCCTTGCCTACAGCCTTCATCTCTGTGACTAGCATATAAACTTATTCTGCTTTTCTTCCCTTACACATCAGCTTTCTGTTTGCTTCCTAAGATCCTTCTGAATCCGTGATCCTAGATGACCCTCCTTGACAAGTTTTTGAGACTTTTTTGGTAAAGATTTCCTCATATCCTAATGTCACGAGTCGGAAAGGCTGGTTAGGTCTAAGCTGCTCTGCAGCATGTCCCAGAGTGCAGAACTTCACCCTGTTCCCATTGTACTGAGCTTTGATTTTCCAAAAGATGGCCAACCATCTGGGCAGCTCTCTCCAAGCTCCTCATCTTTCCCCTTCCCTAGACCCTTCTCACTCATCCTGTTACATGATGACCTCAGTTTATGAAGCCCTTTGCTCTTCCCTCTCTCTCCACATTGTGGTTTTCTTGCTTAGAGGCTTTTCCTCTTGCTTCCTGGATCAGTCCAGGTGCTCATCCTTGCTGAAATGCTTGCTCCCTCCTACTGCTGGACAATGAGCAAGTGGCCTTTCTTTTCTTCCTGGTCCGCTGAATGCTCCATTCTTCATTCCAAAGCTCTCCTGTGCTCGCCGTGCCTTGCCACCCCATCCCACCTGCATGAGTGGCTGAAAGATGTGTCACCCCTGTGCCTTGCTTCTCCCAGGCGGGTTCCCAACCCTTCCCTCACTCTCCCCACTCTGCTTCTCCTGTGGGTCATTACTCCAGATTGCTTTGTTCTGACCAGACCGTCTCCCTCATCCCAGCTTTTATTATTTCTCTTCTTTCTCAAGGCCTGCTCGGGATCCAGTACCACAGCTACTGGACTGAGTCCTTTCTTCCTCCCCCCTGTCCAAGCATCTCTGCTCATCCTCAGTTCCACACCGTAAAGGCAGGAATTGCTTTGCTTCACAAAAAGCCAGAGGAGTTATATTCATCTGATGGCTTTTCCTATTCTCTGTGGCTCTAATTTGCAGCGAGTATTTTTGCAAAAGTGCTCATCCCCGAAGCTAACAATAAAGCTGTCTCTGTGTGCGTGTGTGTGTGTGTGAGAGAGAGAGAGAGGGAGAGAGTGAGAAGAGGGAGGGAGAAAAAGCAATACAACAGTCTGGCAATGTGAGGCGGCATTGGAGAGCTGCTAGACCAGGGAAGCTGGCTAAGAGACGCAAGCCCCTTACTCTGGGCTCAGCGTGATCCCATTGGTTCCTGAGCTGCCGTTTTAAAGCAAAGAAGAGCTTGGAGGATTGAACTGCACAGCCAGACGCAGACTCTCAGCCAAGTTGTCAGCACGCTGGGAGGAAGAGAGACTCACATACACAAGATTGCAGGGTGTCCGCAGCTTGATGTTCATTTATTTCCAGAAAGGAAGAAAGGAGAGGGGACAAAAAAAAAACCCAAACAAACAGAAAAGGGGGAAGGAGCCTGATCCAGTCCAGCAGTCCCGGGGGGAATAATGGATGTAACCATCTCTCAGTTCATCTTAGAAGAATTTGATGTCAACTGCAGCCTCCTGGATCGTTTACAAGAGACTTTTTTGGAGAGTTCCTCTGTCCCTTTCCTGGGCTTTGACGGTAGGAAACATTACCTAGCGCAGGGCTCGGAAAAGCTTTATAACTGCTAAGATTCGATATGCTTTGTGATGCAAAGCGTGTCGCTTTTGTGCTTTCTCAACTGCTTCTTTTTCTCTTTCTGTTTCCCTTTTTAACGCAAAAGGTCCGTACTGCAATGCCACCACGGATCAGATCGGGACCTGCTGGCCCAGAACCTCTGCGGGGGAGCTAGTAGAGAGACCCTGCCCGGAGTTCTTCAATGGGATCAAATACAACACCACGAGTAAGTACAAACTCCTTTCCTTCTCCCTCAAATCTGGAGACCCAAAATATATTTTCCACTGAAAAAAAAAAAAAAAAGAAGTGTTTGCCTGGGAATCAACATTTCCTCCACATTCCAGCCTGTATATTCGAAATTCCTGCCTGAAATGATGCAGATTTCTTAAAAGCACAGACTATTGGACACCAGTTCCTCTTTACTTAAGTGTATTTAGGTAGGTCTGGTCAAAAATATCCTCTGCAATCTAAGGAGGGCATACTGTGCTTTGTGTGTTTGTTCATGTGTAGATATGCATAGCTGAATGTATTTGTAGCAGTACTTCAGCCATTTGGATAATTAAAGACCTTTTGGCTTGTGAAGTATTTAGTCTTAGCACCTAAGAACTGTATTTTGAAAGCACTCTCCCTTTGAGAGCCTGTTTCTGTGAACAGGGGGACAAAGTGGGCTGGAAGTTGTATCTAACAGAAGGCTGAGGTCTGGAATCTGTTTAGTAACTTCATCAGCGGTTGGCTTATGAGGCTGGAGTGGCTGCATCATTACTGCAAGGGAAACAGTAGAGGATATTATGAGGCAAATAATATTCAAAGCAAGGGAGCATGGGGGCTCCTTAGAAATCTCTTGGAACTGATGCTTTAGTCTTAGAGGTAAACAATCATGATGACTCACTAAAAATTTATTATTCAGGCTGTCGGACACAGGCACTCATTTCCTTTTCCTTATCTGTCAATACTCTTTGGACCTTTCATTAAGAGTTTTTAACATATTAGTTCCAAGTATGCACACCCACTTGCTTGTCACTCATTTCTTCAGGCTACTCAGTGTGCTGCTTTTGGCTGTGGGGACATTTCATTCTGTGTTTCACTCTGAACTGTTCCTCGGGTGTGAGTAGTCTAATTTTCAGGTAGCATTAATTTTGTGGTGCTAACATTCTCAGTAAGTCACATAAAAGAATGACCTGGTCATCTTAGACCTTATTTTTTAACTTGTTGAAAGTGAATGTGTTCTTTCCCCAGCTCTGGGTGTCGAGGGTCAGATAACTAGACAAAAGTTCTGTGTATCTGCAGTGCAAAACAAAAGCCCTTTTCCAGATTTGTTCTTAGGGACCAGCTTCTGTCACCCTTGACTTTGAGCAGAGTAAGGAGGTTCCTTCAGAGAACTGCAAGATCATCCTCAGATCCTGTATTCTCTGACCTGTGCTCTTTGCCATAAAATAGGGCTGAGTTATGCTGCCTTTGATTACAGCAGGTAGTCCACTACCTTCACAGTCTCAGTTGAGATTAGAAGAAAATTTCTGAGAATTAAGGACCGCTCAGACAAAAGCAAGCATATCAGAATGAGCCCTAAAAGAACAGCCATAGAAAATGTACCTCAAAGAAGTATGGCTTTTTTTTTCCATTTCCTTTTCTTTTGCTGAGGGATGTCAAGATTTCCACTGCCTTATTTTTGTTTCTCCAAAAGGAAGGAGACAAGGAGGGAAAGAAATGCATTACGGATGATTCCTTGTTTATAGCATAAACACAGTAGAGAGAATTTAAATGCTTTTCATGTGTATGGAAGAAAAAAATCTTGAATATCCCCATTTTATTTTTATAAACTCTGTAAATGCTTTCAGTAGTTCATCAATGACCTGATTTATAGTTCTTCCCTGCTTCTCTCCTTCTCAATGGTGGCTAATGCTTGTATTGCAATGCTGATAAATTTTTGTTAAATTCATTGCTCTTGAAACAATGGCATGTTAATTAAGTTGAACACTGGTGAAAATATATTGTTGAAATGCTGAAGCATTATTTTGTCATAGTCTGGAGAAGTGGGCATTTTTCTCCTTTCAACCTAAAATGTGAGTAGTCACGTTGAGAAAATGTCTGTCTGCAGGACTGATCGGTAGTGCATACTGGTGCCCAGGGGTGATAGTTTATGAGCTTGCAATAGAGAACTAAAGCACACTGCAGCCGCTGTCCATGTGTGTGACTCCTCCAAGCTGTGGTGCAGAAGAGGAAGGGAAGGACTATACCAAGATTTGAGTCGGTAGCTTCTTGGGCGATAGTGGTTGGTGATTAAGGCTTGGGAAGGCAGTAGGACAGCAGGTAAAGATTCAAGCGTAGCGGTGCAGTCTCTTTTGTGATTTGAAAGATGTGGCGATTAGTTCATGCAGAACATGTCCAGAGTTTGGGAGGGCCAAATACTGACACGGTCTGACTACTTTCACTGGCATGATTTCACCAAGTTAGTTTGTGGGCTGACTAGAGGGCCAGTTGTACTGAGACTCAGTGCGCTTAAAACCTAACCTAGACTGTGCACCTCATGCAGATGATAAAATAAGCACAGAAAACTGATAAAAAATGAGAAACGGATCTTCAAATTTCAGAGGTGAATAACCCAGCTGAAAAGTGGAGATTTGATCAGGAGACGGCTTGGATCAACGTAAGATTTCTGCCTAGGATGTGTAGTGTAGTTTTGTCCTGTTTTGTCTTGCACTTTGTTGAGGTAAAAGGAGAAATGATGATGTGTAATATTATGCTGAATTGTTTTTGAGAGCGAAATCAGGCAAGTTTAGAAAAGCACTGTGCAACGCCTTTCTTCTACTAAGGGTTTATCCAGTTCTAGGTCATAACTCAGCTATTTATTATAATGTCATGCATCCCATGTTTGCGAGCTGCCGCCTTTTGGGAACTATAGCATATCTTTGGTTTTGTGCGGCTGTGAGTATATTTCTCATTCTAATGTGTGCAAAACTTTTGGGTCAACTTCAGTGATTTTTTTTATTTTTTAAATTTTAGAAACAAAGCTGACAAAGATGCCAAGTTCCTACCAGTTTCATAAAAGTAGTTCATCAGCTGGAGGGAAACAACCCAGTAGCATTCCCTGTAAATGAAAGCTTTTGCACTGTAGACACTAGAAAATCCAGACTTGGAAGTGCCCAAACTGTATGAAAAACTTATACCAGATTCTGTCAAGCACAAGACGCTGATCCATGGCAAACCAGGATGCCCGAGTTCTGGTACTCATGGGCCTATTTGTGTGCCTAATTGTAGTCTCTGTGAACATAGTGTATGGAATTAATGAGAAAATGAGACATGTAGTTCGCATCACCACAGGTCAGCTCTTCAAAGGCTTTGGATGGACCTACCTTGGCTTGGGATCCATCTTGTCATGCTTTGATCGTTGCTCTCACTCAGCACCCCTGAGTGCTGGGATGGGGAATAATACCAAACCCTGCGATATGCCAGCAAAATTTAATGAAAGTATTTGAGTAAAGAAACGTAGGAACAAAAACTGGTGTGTAAAAAATCCCCTCCTGTTTGCCACTATAGAATAAATTGTTTACATGAAGTGTTTCCATTCTAACTGCAAAAAATTCCCGTGGTGATTTTGTGCCTGTGTCTGTGTTTCTGCGGGTCTCTTGGGAACTGCTGAGTGACTCAGATAAGTTTCAGCTGGATTCGTAAAACAAAGTCTGTCAGTCTCTGAGTATTTTTCATCTCTGACACTTTGTTATTTTGGTGATTTTTTTTTTCCTCCCTCTTTATTTGGGAAATAAAGTCATGCTGACAAATCAGGATCTGGTTACCCTGTAGTGTGATTTGTGAAAATGTTCTTTGACTAAGGATCTGAAAATGATGCCATCCACTTACAACTTTTAATTTTGCAGCAAAGCTTATGTATTATCCTCAAAGAAAAAAAAAAAAAAAGTGTGGGGGCGTGGAATATATGTGTTGTGTACAGCAGTGTGTGGCTGTGCACTTGTCTCTGCTCAGGATCTATATTTAGCTAAAGATGACAATATCATTGCTGCCCTCTAGATGTGTTTATGCTTTGACAGTGTGAAGCTTTTATTCTTGTTTTAGGAAACAGATTAATTCAGTTATTAGGATATCTTGAAGCTTGATTAATTCAGCAAATGGGCAGTAATGACACTCTTTTTGCTGCTTGCAAAAACATGGTTGTAGATGTAAGTACTTACAGAATGTTACAGGCTAAAGTATGTCTACTTTAGCTCTTTCCTTTCCCT